CTTTAAGGCCTCATTCCCACCAAGGCATTGCAGTAACGCGTGTCCACGCGCGGTTGCAGGACTTTGCTTCCTGCGTTTGGCCCGCGTCCACAGTGGGTCCCTGGATGCGCACCAAACGCGCAAAAGTAGTACGTGTCGCTAATTTGGCGCCATGCATTCCTGCGCGTGAACATGCAAGGAAAAAAACCACGTCTGCTCGGCCACGTTTGGGGTGCCATTACCTAGTATTGGCAACGCAAGCGTATAGTGTCCTAATCCTTTCCTGTTAGGATTACCGTAACCCCCGGCAACCATCTCCCCTACGGTATGCAGAGTATCATTGTCTTCCTGTCCAGCCGCCTCCAGCTACAGAGGTATTATTACAGGCGGAGTTCCTTGTACTGGAGGAATGCCGGTGTTCTATCGAAAGCTCCAACTCGTCGAGATCTCCAACGGCCCGACTTCCGGTTTCGTTAGAACTAAGAGGTTTGGGCGAGAAGGCTGCACTGCACGTGCGCCACCCGCGGCATTTCCTATACACGTACTACACAGCAATAAAGTATTTAAATTAACTAGGATGACACTAATCCAGCACGTTATTCATCTGAGGTGCCCCACTCAATATGGCCGCCGCTTACCGCCCTATTGAGTGGGGCACCTCAGATTAATAACGTGCTGGATTAGTGTCATTCTAGTTCATTTTAATACTTTATTGCTGTGTAGTATGTGTATAGGGAAGTCCCGCAGGGGGCAGGTACTGATGTTGGAGGAGAAGGCCGGGCTCGCAGTCTCCGTTCTAATTCATCCCAAAGGTGTTCTATGGGGTTGAGGTCAGGACTCTGTGCAGCCAGTCAAGTTCCTCCACCCCAAACTCCCCCATCCATGTCTTTATGGACCTTGCTTTGTGCACTGGTGCGCAGTCATGTTGGAACAGGAAGGGGCCATCCCCAAACTGTTCCCACAAAGTTGGGAGCATGAAATTGTCCAAAATGCCTTAAAGTGACATTAAAGTAAAGTTTTTTTCCTCCTCCCCCCAATGTTAATGAAAGCACTCGCCTCAAATGATGTCTCTTAATCCGATCTTCTGGGGAGGAAACGGCTAGATCAGAGGTGGGCAAACTCCGGCCCGCCAGCTGTTGTGAAACTACAAAACCCATGATGCACCGGTCTCTGGGAGTCATGCCTGTGGCTGTAAGAATCTTGCAATGGCTTATGGGACTTGTAGTTCCTCAACAGCTGGAGGGCCGGAGTTTGCCCACCTGTGTGTATTCCGCTCGGCGGTCTCGTTCTGTGCGGCATTATCCCACCTTCCAGACCAGATCCCCCCTCCAGCAGATCTGTACAGACAGGCCGCGCTCTGTGAGTGCGTCTGGGCCGCGGCCAACATCTGGCGCGGCTCTGTTCTCTGCTGGAATCTATACTTTCCTTTGTGTCTTTCCCTCTGGAAAAAATCGCGCTCCGAGAAGAAGAAGAAGTGACATCACCAGAACGCGATATTGCGGAATTGTTGTTGGACGAGGACACAGCGGCTTTGTCTGGCACCGTTTGATGGTTCCTTTCTCAGGGAAGGTTCAAGCGGCCCCATGTGGACGTCGGCTCGTACGGAGGGAGAGCGCGAGCCGCCAGGACAGGTCACAGAGTGCAACAAACTTGTGTGACCTCCGGGAGGCCATCGGAATATCCCTCCAATCCCACCGTGCCAGACTTTCATTTAAAGGAGAACTATGAGGGGGGGGAGGGGGGTGCTTTTGACTCACCTCACAGTTCTAGCCGACCTGTGACAATGAAGGCCGTGACACACTGCACGCGAAGCCGTGCAGAGCGAAGCAAAGCTATCCGGCACGGAGCTTCGCGTGCAGTGTGTGAGCTGAGTGCATTCAGATGATTGACAGCGCCTTCAGCCAATCGGCTCGTCCGTAACAACCTGCCAGCTATCGCAACGCGATGGTTTAGACGCGCGAGCCGATTGGCTGAAGTTGAAATTGTTCATCTCGGCACGCTCAGCTCCGCGAGCTCTCGCAAGCTGAGGTGCCAAGCGGAAAATTACATGACACACTGCTCGCAAAGGCAGCGCGGCCCCCGGCTCCGCGCTGCTTCGCGTGCAGTGTGTCACGGCCTTGAGACTGTCACAGGTCGGCTCAGTAGATCGGGAGGTGAGCGAACACATGCCGGCTTTCGCTCACCTCTCGATCCTGTCACGGCAGAGAGCCGTGACGGGAGGGGTTGGATTCCCCCCTCCCCGCTCTGATCCGCCAGCGCTGACTGGAGGAACGGGAGGGGGCGGGTACAGCTGGCTCTGCCTCTAGATAGGCAGAGCCAGCTGTCACTCACGCAGCTGGGCGGATCCCGGCATCTACGTCGGGATCCGCTCCGGCTGCTGCGTCTCAGTATATAGAGAGCTGTAGCTCGCGGTATACTGAGCTTAGGGTGACGGGAGGACGCTAGTTTGTGTCCTCCGTTACCCTAAGGAGAACTATGGGGAAAAGACTTAACCCCATAGTTCTCCTTTAACGCAATAAAGTTTATATGAAATTCTAGTGAATAGGTTTACATATCCTTTAAATCAAGATAACACGTATGACCATTCTAGGAATATATCAGAATACATAGACACTGAGCTGCCTTTTCATGCGTTCCCTTTAATAAATCATAAACTCTAAACATCGCTACACTGTACAAACATTAGAAAATAACTGATTGGAAGCCGTGTAGTACCCTCTCCCAACCTGTAGGTGTCACTGTGTTATGACCTATGAGAAGAATTGAATGATTCCTCAGCGCCTGTACTCACCTGTGCGTTGTGGTAACACACCGTGAAACATGTATCGCGGAGCTGTTCATTTTAAATTGCACCCCAACGCATTAACAAAACGCACCACAGTTCATGTGTATTGTGACGCACCATAGCACACCGATGTAAGCGATCTGTGCATTGCGGTTGCGTCCTCTGTGCATTGTGGCCAATTTAAAATGAATGGGTGTCTTACAGCAATGCAGAAAAAATGCATGCGTGCTGCAGCAACACACAAGTGTGCGCATGCCCTCAGACTTTATTTATGTAATCAGTGACTCCTGCTGGTTGCACAAAGCATTTCACCACACGCTGAATTTGTCATTGCAAATGACTAATCACAACAAATACAATGATATGACAATGATTGCTATTGGTTGCACAATTATATAAAAGAAACGAGATTCTGATCCCACAGCTGAGTACACTAGTAATATATATATATATATATATATGTGAAATGTTTTACTTCTCCACTGACCTCCAATGTAAGGGGTCACTTCTCCACTGACCTCCAATGTAAGGGGTCACTTCTCCACTGACCTCCAATGTAAGGGGTCACTTCTCCACTGACCTCCAATGTAAGGGGTCACTTCTCCACTGACCACCAATGTAAGGGGGCACTTCTCCACTGACCACCAATGTAAGGGGTCACATCTTCAATGTAAGGGGTCACTTCTCTCCTCCACTGACCACCAATGTAAGGGGGCACTTCTCCAACGACTATCAATGTAAGGGGGCACCTCTCTTCTCCACTAACTGCCATTACTAAGTGGCGCACCTAAGGAACAAAGGGCCCTGGCGCAAGATTTTTGGAGCAGATCTCACTGCCCCTCCCCTCCCCCAACCTTCCCGGCAGTCTCTGCACCAGAGGAGCTTACACTCTAATGCCCCCCCCCCACAGTCTTACACTATTATACATTTATATAGCTGTGGCATATACCGCAGTGCTGTAGAGTGAACACTGAGCCAGTCACATTCGTTTCTGTACAGAGGAGCTTACACTCTAATGCAGAATGGCACCGGCTGTAGGGGGACTACAAATCTTAGAAATACATTTATACAGCAATGCAGAACAGTATATGAGTTGGACTCACTGGACTCCGGACTTTGTAACGCACTGGACTCTGGACTTAGGAACACAATGGAATCAGGACCCACAGAGAGCCTGCAGAGCCCACCTGAGACCCCCGTACAGCCCACTATAGACCCCGCAGAGCCCACCTGAGACCCCCGTACAGCCCACTATAGACCCTAATGTAAGAGGTCACTTCTACATTTACTGTTAGCATTTCTTTTCAGGCCATTTGTTTAATTTCATGATTATTAAGTAAACCCTTAATCTTTATTCTTTTGTTTAAAACTGTCTGAACCTACTTATCACACTAATGTACCTTGAGATGGGGGGTCTAATCATTTTAGTGGTGGGGTTTCCCTGAGACATGAAAACTTTTTCATGGGTTCCTCTGGGGTAAAATGTTGCTAGGTGCACTTCTCTGGGACTCCTTAATCGACCTCGCTGACTATCTATGAGATTTGCAGGTAACGTTGTGTGGCAGCAAAGATACGTGCAACCTACTTCTTAAGAATGCTTTCTAAGGAAAGGAAGTAGGGGGGTGGGGGGAGTGGTCATAGAACGAAAAGGGCAATAAAAGTTCATCTATCCTATAAAACTTCTATCTTGTGCTTGCGGGTGGCCCCAAGCTAACCATACACATTGCAATCAGGATGTACAATCTCCTTTAGGACTACCGACAACTATGTAGTACAAGAGCCTGCATACAGAATGAATGGATTGCACTGGCATGCCCTAATGATAGATATCAAGGAGGATTCTACAACCAGATTGCGTCGCGTGTGGCCAGATTCAGACTCGCCCCTATTTAATAATCAGCATTTTCTTTTTCAGGTAAGTCACTATTTCCTGGTGGCTTTCGGTGGTACCGGTTTCTGCCACCTGAAGGGGGGTCTTCTTCAGGCTGTTGGTGGCCTGTAAATTGGCCTTCTGGCCCTGCGACCAGCTCGCCAGGGTCTGCACACATTTCAGGTGTCCCGATCTGCAGGCGCAGTGCAGCGGCGTGTCCCTGTTGTTGTCCAGGGGGTCAGTGGCCGCCCCGCTGGTTAACAACAGATTGACCAGGTCGCTGTGGCCGTGCTCAGCGGCGAGGTGCAAGGGCGTTTTCCTCCAGGTATTTTTATCTTCTACGTTTTTATTTTTCCCGGCTTTCAGGAGAGACTTCACCGCGTCCGCGTTGCCGGAGATGACGGCGTAGTGGATGGGCGTGCACCCGTCCATATCTTTTGCCCCGTATCGGGCCTTGTTGGCCAGCATGGCTTCCACGGCGTCAAAATTCCCTGCAGCTGCAGCGACGTGGAGGGGGGTCTTCTTGTCTTTGTCGGGGACGTTAGGGTCGGCCTTGTTACTAAGAAGCAGCCTCGTGAGACCGCCGTCTCCTCCTCCCTCCGCGGCATAGTGCAGCGGCGTTCGTGAGTGCTTGTCTTTGGCGTTAACGCTGGCTTTGTGTTCCAGGAGGCTCTGGGCCACGTCCGTGTTGTTCCTCTGGCTGGCGATATGCAATGGGGTGACCGATTCCTTCGTGGCGGCATTGACGTTCGCCCCCGCGTCGATCAAAATATCGCTCAGTTCTCGCTTGTTATGAAAGGCCGCCACGTGCAAGGGCGTCTGCTCTCCGGGGCCTGTTATATTGGCGTCCGTGCCTTTCTGCAGCAGAAGTTTGGTGGTGGAGACGTCTCCTCCTTGAACGGCTAGATGTAGCGCCGTGTTCAGGTTCGGCGTCCTATCGTCCAGCTTGGCCCCTTTCTGGATCAGCGCCCCAGCTGACTCCGCTTTCCCTAGTTCCGCCGCCACGAGAAGCGGCGTGTACTGGATGTCGTTCTTGGCGTTGACGTCGGTGCCCTTGTCGGCCAAAGCGTTTATGATGCCGTACAGGTTCAGCTTGACGGCTTTAAACATGGCGGAGACCATGGTGTCCGGGGACAGTCCTTTAGAATATTCCAAGAGGAGGCCAAAGATGTGCTCGTTGTTCGTATTGAAGGCCGCGTCAATTATGCTCGCGTCAACACTGGCTCCGGCCTCGAGCAACACTTTCACCGTCGCCTCGTGGCCCCCGGTGACCGCATGAAACAGTGCGCTCTGCTTCTGTTCATCGGCGGCATCAACAGACGCCCCATTCTTTAGGAGGTTTTGCACCAGTCCGCTATCGTCCTTAACGGCTGCAATGTGCAAAAAGTTGGTCCTGTTTTTGTAGCGCTTCCCCTCTTCTTGAAGAAAGAGCTTGACAACGTTGTGATGATTGTTCTGCACAGCCAGGTGCATGGGGGTCAGGCAATCGGTGTCCTGGGAATAAATATTTGCCCCGGCTTGGAGTAAGACCTTCACCGCTTCCTCGTGACCGTTCTCGGCTGCCCTGTGCAGAGGCGTCCTGCGTTTCCTGTCTTTGGCGTCCACTTTGGCCCCCTTCGAAATGAGGAACCGGATCACGGGAACGTGCCCATTGGACGCTGCCACGTGCAATAACGTTTCTCCAGATGAATTTACAGCGTTGACATCGGAATTCTTCAACAGGGACTCTAGCATAGACAGGTCCCCTTTGCTGACCGCATCAAACACCCCTTCAGAACTTACGACCTTTGGCTTAGGCGCTTCAGACGGAGGCCTCTTCTTCTCTTTCGCTTGGGGAGTCGGTTTTGGTTTTGGAGCCGGCGTGCTTGTTTTTTTGGGCACGCTCTCTTTGCGAGCGACTTTCTCTGGCGGTTCCGTGACCGGGATCTCCTTATAGTCTTTGTCTCGTTCCAACAAGTAGCCCACCAGCTGCCTCCTGCCATCTCCCACTGATTCGTTCAGCTGATTGACGTAGCCCTTGACGTGGTTGTATAGGTCGGGCTCGATTTGCTTGAGGCATGGGAAGAAAAAGAGGCGACAAGCCCTCTCACCTTTAGACATGAGGATGTCCAGCAGTCTGGAGTTCTTCTCCGTCCTGGTCCGGTAGTAGGACATGATCATTTTTTTGTCCGCTGTGAAGATGTCATGATCCACCAGCCAGCTGACCAGGTTGTCAGGATCTTGGATTCCATCGATAAGTTCACCTTTCATGGTCTTGACCACGTCGACAGCATAGGGGTTGGTGAAGGATCCGTTGGAAGGGATCGGTGGCATGTGGACAGCAGCCGTCATCCTTTTTTTGACGTTAGGCGTTCCTTGAAGCCTGCGCTCTGAAACGTGGAGGAGTCTCGCGACACAATACAGTCCAAAGGAGCAAGTTACAGATCATGACGGCTCTAAGCTCCTGGAGGATTTTCAGAAATAGTATCTCACACACACTCCGCTCCGCACTCCTTTTGTTGGGCGGGTTGTGTTTGTTTGTGCCTGATGGGAAGTAAGCAATGCAGTTTGTCAAGATTAGCAAAGTAAATCAACAGCTTAGCTACCGTTGCTGTGATTGCAAAAACTCTATTGAAAGGCTGAGACAAGGACACGAGAAGGGAGGGCGCTGGGAACTCCAAAAGGCACCAAACAGGACAACATGAATGAATACATGGACTGCAGCTAAAAAAACTTCTGTGTACAAAATGTAATCATACATCAGAAAAAAAACTGACTATATAGTGAAAAGTAAGATCCAGCCTAATGCTGGGGGACTCAAGTCCCAGGATAGCAGGACAGCGAGCAAACGCTGTTTTATTTTTTAATTCCTTCCATTTTTTTAATTTTTATATTATTTTACAATTTTATGTTTGTGGTTATATACAGTATATATACTGTAATAAAATAAATAAATATATATATATTATACATGGTACTGCTGCTAAACTTTTTTTTATTAAGACTTGGCTGTACATTTTGAGGTGTGTGTAAACCCAATCACGAAAAAATCCTGTATAAGCTGTGACATGCTGATGCCATTCCAAAAGTTGCTTTGAATCCTTTTAAATCTGTAGTTTTTATTAAAATAATCCCTGCCATGAAAGTCCTTGTTCAGACACTTCCTGTTATGGGGTGACAACTGTCTCCCAATTGTGCTCCTGTGTTGTCACTCCATCTGATAGAAGCTGCAAGAAAGAGGCTGCAGAGGATCCGCAGCACCGAGATTTCTCATTATTTATTACAGGTATTTATATAGCGCTGACAATTTACGCAGCACTTTCCCTAGAGCACATTCAGATCAGTCTCTGCCCTCGAGGAGCTTACAATCTATGTTATTATTATTATTATACAGGATTTATATAGCGCCAGCAGTTTGTGCAACACTTTACAATATAAGCAAGTTATATACAATATAATACAATATATGGAAGATGTTATGCACACACCTACAGGGCTGATTTAGACAGGAGCCATTTAACCTTCAGCATGTCTTTGGAGTGTGGGAGGAAACCCACACAGCACAGGGAGAACATGCAAACTCCATGCAGATAGTGACTTGGCTGGGATATGAAGTACTAACCACCAAGCCACTGTGGTGCCCCCCTGCTCATCATCCTGCAGACCTGCACTTATACACATGGTGCAGCTTTGCTGGTATACAGCGCCACCTAGTGGATAAGATGAGCATTGCCTCTTAGCAGGGAGATGATTCTGTTCCATTATGGCTCTGGCCTGGGGAGATCTATGGGGTCTATTCACGAAGCTGCCGAAGGATCTGGCCGTAGCTTCGGCCGATCCTCCGGCTAGCTTCGGCCCCAGGACCGCTTCGGTTCAGTAGAACCGAAGGGGTGCTGTACGGGCTATTCACAATAGCCCATACAGCTCCCGATCATGGCCGAGCGGCTCAGCCGAGCCGAACGCATATGCATCGGCTCGGCTGAGCCGTGCTGACGCTGTGTCTTTTTTTCTTTATTCTAACACAAGCCATGTCAGAATATTAAAAAAAAAAGATTTTTCCCATTGAAAAGCATTGGGACATTACTATTGGCTATTTCAATTTGCAATAGCCAATAGTAAATTAGCATTGTACCCGCCCTCTGCTGCAGTTCCCATCAGCCGAACATGCTGAGCATGTTCGGCCGACCCGAAGACACACGAAGCAAGCCGATGTACGGCTGAAATCAGCCGTACCAGCCTGAAGTGAATAGCCGAACAGTGTTCGGCTCACTTCACTTCTGATCGGTCATTCACTCGGCTGCCCTCGGCAGCTTTGTGAATAGACCCCTATAAGTCCCCTGATAACTCTCACATTATTATTATTATTATTATACAGGATTTATATAGCGCCAACAGTTTGCACAGTTTGCCTCCTTATATTTACAATATAAGGAGGACATTACAGTTAAAAATCAAGACAAGACGGTAAGGAGAGAGAGCCCTGCCCCTGAGAGCTTACAATCTAAATACAAAATGAAACGCGTTCTATAATGTGTTTGCATTGGTTGTTAAAGAGGACCTGTCATGTTGTTATCGATCACTATGATACCGGAGGACGGTGATAGAAAGCACAGATAGGAGATGTTATAACTGTGAAGGTATTATTATATTATATGATGTACAGTAGACATGTGAGATTCGTTTTGTTCCAAATCAAAATTCGGATGAATTTTCTGAAATTCAGACACATCCGAATTTCCCAATCCCAATGCATCCGAATGTGTCCGTTTCCGAATTTCGGACCCCGTCAAAAACAAAACTGAATTGGACATGTGACTTTTCTGGCCAATCAGATGTGTTTATTGCATCCGGATGGGTCTGAACACGAGTTTTCGTTACGGCAACATGGGAGCCATATACTGTATAATACTAAACCTGAGGATCCGAATTTCCAACGTGTTTTCGGGAGCTCCCGAATGCCCTTCGGGTCTAGGAGCCTCTGCTTTAGTAATATACACTGAGTGGCCGTATTATTATATACACCGAGTGGCCGGATTATTATATACACTGAGTGGCCGGATTATTATATACACTGAGTGGCCGGATTATTATGACCACCTGACGTTTGTAGGCAAATGAGCTATAATTTGGCGCTGAAGTTGCTAGAGGGCCAGACCATTATAAATAGGGAAGCAGGTCGGTTACCACGACAGTAGAAGTGATTTGTTTCTGAAGATTCGGGGAAACAACGCGATGTAACAGCCTTTGAACGCGGGATGATTGTTGGCGCTCGGAGCCATGGAGCGAGTATCAGCAAAACAGCAGAATTCGTTACATGTTCAAGAGCAGCTCATTGTTAAAGTGTTTAAAGACCGGACTGTCAGCCGAAAATCTGGGTCTGAGCGTGCGAATTGTGGCCGTCAGCGACTAGTCAATGTTAGGGCAGAACGGGGGAGGGGCAAGACTGGTACAAGACAACAGAAGGGCAACAGTGCCGTGTCAGATTCCTCGCATCACCTTTCAACATCTCGTGGAGTCATCTCGTGGAGTCATCTCGTGGAGTCATCTCGTGGAGTCATCTCGTGGAGTCACGAGGCGGCCCAACGAAGTACTGATGGGGGGCTCATAATAATCTGGCCACTCATTGTATGTGTATGGCTCCCAGACACGAATGGCATTCTGGAGCTTCCAAATACAATGCGGAAATTCGGATCCTGAATGCCATTCGGGTCTAGGAGAGTCAGCTTTAGTATTAATATCTGTATATGTTTTTCTGTGGTAGTCGTAACGAGTATTCGTAAACTCATCCGAAACTAACAAAACTCGGATTTCATCCGAAACCCGAACCGGCCGGCTCCGCACAGTTGTTATTAATTGGCCAGGACCTGCTAGAAGACTCTGGCAGGTGCCAGCAAATAGGAAACAGTTGGGCGGAACTAGCTGTCACTGCTAGCTCTGCACAATTGTTTTTTTGTTTTCTTTTTAAAAAGCTTTATTTATTTTTTAATATTTCAATTTTATTTACATTTTAAAATTCTTTTTTCAACTTTTTTTTTACTATTTTCATTGATTTGCTATTCTACTCAGTACCACGGAGGTACCAAGCCGAATGCCGCTATTCACTCACTGCCGTTCGGCCCATATGAGATTAGGGGCGAATGGCAGCGAGTGAACTGCCGGAGCTTCAGCTCAGCTGAACCAGATTTCAGGGCCGGCCTTAGGCCTTTAGGCGCCCTGTGCGAGAAAGCTTTACAGCGCCCCTCAGTGACCACACCCCTCAGTGGCCACACCCTTTAGTGGCCACACCCCCAGTAACCACACCCATTTATAGCCGGCCCTGCCAGATTTTGGATCGGCTGAGTCGAAGTCCTACTACACTTCGGCTCAGCCGAACATGCAGCCGATGTACGGCTGAAATCAGCCATGCAAGCCAGAAGTGAACAGTCGAATGTAGTTCGGCTCACTTCACTTCGGCTCGGTTATTCACTCAGCTTTGTGAGTGACCCCCTATATTTCATGTACAGTCACCTCCCTGTATGAACCATTGAATTGCTGGGTCCATGTAGTGCTCACTATCAGCCAGCAGGTGGCGCTGTGACTTCACTCACAGCTATCATCCAGTTTTTGGCTGCAGCAGCTGAGCACATGTAACATGGGTGTAGCTGGAGAGAGAAAAGCTGATTTGTTTATTATTACAACTCAGGGAAAAAGCATTAAAATTCCCCTCGTTTCCTTCTCACTATCGACTTCATACAAAGTTTCTTCGCTGCAACTCAATCTTCTGTAACCTAAAGGGAAACTCAGCTGCAGATAAAGGTGCAAGACAGCTTAAAGGGGATTTATTACTATTAAAACTGATTTATTTTATTATTATTATTATATATACGCAGCGCTTTACATAGTTGCACATTTACATAATTCCCTGCCCCCAAGGAGCTTACAATCTAAGGTCCCTATCACACACAGCGTCAATCTAGACAGGAGCCTATTAAGCTTCTAGTGGAGTACCCGGAGGAAACCCATGCAAACTCCGTGCAGATAGTGTCCGGACTGGGATTTGGACCGGGGACCCCCAGTGCTGCAAGGCAGAAGTGCTAACCAGCAGCACAGTGATGTGCTCATCTCTCTGCCCTCTACACCTATCAGAACGTTCCATGTGCTGCTTTTCCCTCCTCTAGTCTGAGCCCAGCTGTGCAGGGACTGCAAGAGGCTGATACCAGCTCAGATTCAGGTACTTACACTGCTTGTATTTACACAAATATATATAGTGGTGTATTGATGAATACAGAGCTGCATTCATTTGTATCTTTGATATCTGCCCGGAGTTCAGCTTTAAAGTGTGACCCCCCCCCCCTCCCCCCTCGATGTGAAGA